GGGGGGGGGGGGGGGGGGGGGGAGGAGGGGCAGAAGGGGAGGGATGAGCAGACGCCTTGCTGAGTGTGAGTGTGATGCTGGGTTAGGGGCTGGATCCCACAACCCTGAGATCACAACCTGAGCCAAAACCAAGAGTTAGCTGCTTGACCAACTGAACCACCCAGGCGCCTCTCAAACAATATTATGAATTTAGAAAGATTTTGCAAGATACTCTTTAATTATAAAACAAAACAGTGACTCAGCTCATCTAAGTACATGAATTCACGTCAAAACACTATGGCAAACTAAGTTTTCTGCAAATTTATTGTAAGAACAACAGCTTTTAAAAGCAAAAATGGCTCCTAGATGGTGTCATAAGGGAGCTGAAGCACTGCTTTCCTGACTTTGCTTATTTGATGAATAAATCTGGTCATTTACTCTGTAGGTTTCTCACAATCTGAATTATGCTATTTGCAACTCCATGGTATCATTTAATATATTCCCCTTTCCTCTATATTTCTTAGTAATTGGTAGGTAGATTTAGAGCGGAGCTATCCAATAGAGCTTTCTGCAGTGATGAAAATATTCTGTATCTGTGTGATCCAGTATGGTAGCCACTAGCTACATGTGCCAAGTGAACATTTGAAATGTGTTAAGGAGAAAGAGAACGAGTTTGAGGAACTGAATTTTAAATTTTATTTAATCTTAATTGATTTAAGTTTAAATTTAGATAGCCACACATGGCTAACAGTAACCTAATGAGACAGGTTGAGAGGCTTGATCAGATTGAGGTTAGGTTTTGCTTTATTTTTGTTTTGTTTGTTTGTTCAGCAGGTCTTACTCATAACATTATTGTGTCTGATGGTCTCTTTTTGTAATTAACATTATAGTCATTATTGATAATTGCCTAAATGCATTAATTCACTAGTGGTTGCAAAATGGTGATATTCTAGCTCTCGTCACTTATTAACAATAGTTGGTAGTTTGGGAGAAAAAATGGCTACTAAAACTAACTGGAGATAAATCCTTTTTCATTGTCCTTAGCATTCATGGATTTCACAGTCTTGACTATTTGCAGGTAACCATGAAGTTCTATCTCATATATAATGGCTTATAATTTACTGAGACATCAAATTGTAATTGCATTAATTAAAATTCTATTTGGAAGAGAGCCAGTTAGCCTGGTGAATGAACTTGTCAGCTCCTCAGCATCTTTATTAAAAATGGCTTTGTCTCTATTGGTATTTTATGGAAGCTTATGCCATAATGCTATCCACAGATTTGTTCTTCACTAATATCAAGGGTATGACATAATCTGTTTTACATTGTTGTCAGTTGACTAAAAGTAGTTTGTAGAACAGTTTAGAATAAACTTATCTTTTTTTCTTTTCTGTTTTCTTTCTTTTTCTCCTTTGTCCTCTAACAGATTTGGTAGCGTGTTTTTTTTTCCATTTTTGGTCGTTACAAAAGGGTCTAGACTTGCATATATGGACTTTCTTGATTATTTGCCAAACTAACAAACCGTTTAAGAGATGTTACCTCAGCTTAATTTAGATCTTTCCAAAGGTTTTCCATTTATAAAAGGAAGTTGGAAAATATTCTAGGCAACTGATAAGTATAGAAGACAACAAATTTTACCTCTTCTTATTTCTTACAGAAAAATGCCACAAAAACTTTTTTTTTTTTGTCAGATATTCTCCTCAAAAAGTGAATCCCGACTAAAGCATCTGTTACAGCGAGCCCCAGATTATTGCCCTGAAACAATGGTAGGTTTTGTTTAACTTAACTATGGAAGCTTTTGTCTAAATGAAGCCATCTAATGAGCTAACTTCTAGATTCAGGAAAATGTTCAAAATGATTTGAGTTTGTGATCAAATTAAAATGCTAGATTTAACTAGGTATTTTAAAAAGATCACACAAATTGCTAGTAGAATATTATCTTTGATCTTTTATTGTTTATCCCATGATATAGGTATAAAAATAATATTAAATATAGATGTATTACAGTCTTTAAATTTCATTATAACCGTTTAGCTGGAATTTGGAATTTTACTCATTATTTTGATAATTTTATGAAAACCATAATAACTGTAATCTTATATTTATTTTGAATTTGAAAAGTTAAATTTGGGGTAAGGGGAAATGTGTGATTTCTCATTATTCCTATCTTCCCATTTTTTGGTGTACTGTAGATATATTGCTTGCCTCTCTGAATCATGTAACTTAAAATGTCTCCAGTGCTTGGGCCATCCTCAGTGTTTGGGACACTGGTGGGCCAGGCTATGGAATATGAGCTTACATGAGACCGACTTTTTAGATGTGGTGGCTTGCATTATGTGAGGGAGGAAAAGTTAAACAATTCTGACTGACACATTTGCCTTTACTTGCCCTACAGACACTTCTGTCTTTGTGCTTAGAAACAGTGATTCCAGTAAGCATCCTGAGTACCCAGACTCATCGTTAGTGCTCTCAGATGGGAAGATGGGAAGAGAGCAAGCAATATTTTTGCATCTCAGTTTTATTTTTTCTTCCCTGAATAGCTGCTTGATACTCATGTGGTCTTAGAACACTGACTATATAGAGACAAACATAAGCAAATTCGCTGTATATAATTTCTATATAAATTGTCATATTTAGGAACTGGTTATATAAAAGCCTTTTGGTGATTCCAATTTTAGGTTGAAATTTGGAGTTGTATGAATTCATCTTTGCCAGGTAAGCAAGGAAGTGTAACATTTAGCATTTTATCTTTAAAAACTTACTTTGTGATTGTAAAATCTGTGTCATAGTCCTGTAACTTAATGTATCCCCTTGAGTTCCTATCTTCTCTTTCTTGTAGGCACCCAAATTTTCAAATGTATAGTTTATTCTCATTCACTCAATCATTAACTGTACTCTTGTCTCTACTTCTTCCATTCTAGTGAAACTGGTCTTTGAAAGAGCACCAGGATCTCATGGTACTTAAATCTTATGGCCTTTTCTCAGTACTTATTCTCTTTGACTGCCCTGCAGCACCTGATATTGTGACCCTTACCTCCTTATGACTCCACCTTAGCCTCATGCATGACCTTATCCTCTCGTACCTTCCCTCTTTGCCACCCCCTCCCCCCCAAGAAGGACCTTGGTTATTCCTGTGCATGGTCCTCTTTTCTCTGTCCACACTTACTCTGGTAATTGCTTTCCTTCCCAGAACTGTTAACTAGTCAGCACTGGGAAGATAGCCTTCAAATCTAAGTTGTCACTCACGACTTCTAGACACGTCACCAGGATGGTTCTCTGCATCCTGGTGACAACTGAAATATAAATTTAACCAAACTCATTGGGTGCCTGGGTGACTCAGTTGTTAAGCGTCTGCCTTTGGCTCAGGTCATGGTCCCAGGGTCCTGGGATCGAGCCCCGCATCGGGCTCCCTGCTCAGCGGGAAGCCTGTTTCTCCCTCTCCCACTCTCCCTACTTGTATTCCGTCTCTCGCTGTCTCTCTCTCTCTCTCTGTCAAATAAATAAAATCTTTTTTAAAAAAATAAATAAAACCAAACTCATAAGTGCCTGTCTTGTGAATGACACTAGACCAGAATCCCTCAAGTTATCTTTGATTGCTTTTTCTTTTTAGCTCCATCGACTCTCTCCTTGTAAAATCTTGGAGCTGTTCTCTCTAATCCTAGTTCAAGCCATTATTATTATTCTCTGGGAATAAAATATTGTAACAACCTTGTAGCTGGTCTTTCGACATATCATAGCTGTCCTCCCCAGCTCCTTAAAAACAAAAACAAAAAAAACACAAAAAAACCCTTCAGGGGGGATATCCACTTCCATCAGAATAAAGCCCAAACTCCCTAACCTGGCATTCATAGTCTTCCAGGATTAAAGCTTACAGTCCTGGTTAAAAAAAGGAAGTATAAGTATAAAGGAAGTATATTTTATGTATTTCTGAACTCTAAAGGCTTTCACACTGTTTGAAGTTTGTATTTCAAACAAATTGGTCTATTTTCCTTCTTGGAATTACCCATATCTTGCTTATTCTCCCAATTATCCCTCTACCTAATGTCCTGGAATTATTTATATATAATTTATATCTTTGTTAGAGGTATCTCCATATGTGATCTCCATAATGGGATAAATCATATATTTTATCTATTTCATAACCCACATAATACCTAATGGGAGTGCTTTGTACATAATACTGTAAACCCTTGTTGGACAGTAATAGTTTCTAGGAGGCCACTAGGTGTATGGAAACAGCAATATACTGTATTATAGTATAGAAGTTCACAAAATTTATGACCTACATTGATTCCATTCAAAATAATTTAGAAAATGTGAGTGATTCTGAATAGTAAGCAGCAGAGATTTAGAGGAAACTATACTGGGCAAAGGGTTAGATGGAAGTCTATTACCCTTTGTACCATTAAAACATGTAGGAATATAGAAGCTTATGATATGCAGTATTTCTAGCCAGTTTTAACAGTTGGGGTGGTTTATAATTTTGAGAGCTTTGTCTGTCTGCAGGCCATTTGTTTACTTTTTTTTTTTTTTTTAGCAGAATGCTTCTATTTGTTATATTAAGTCCTAGTTTCATTTGGAGAACTATGTTACCTATTGCATTAAATTCTTGACACTTTTTTCAAATGTAAATAATAATAATTTAGATGTGATTTTGCAGATGTATGTATTACATGGAAGCAGCTTAAAGTATTTCTGAAAAGAGATCAGCAGGAATGTGCTATATGCCTATGAGCGTATGTCTTTCCTCTTTTTATAATTGTTACTTGTGTCTCCTAATATTATCCTAGGAGTCATTCATTGACATTTATACTTGCAAAAATGAATGTAAAAAAATTCATTAGGACACTTTTTATAATTGCATCACCTTTTGATATTACCATAATTTGGCTGGAGAAATAGCTGCTGTGTATAAATTGAAACAGATTAGTCATTTTGCCCCATAATTAAGTGTACTCATCAAAGTCAGTTCTTGCCCACAGGAAATGTTCCTTTCTGTCCTGTCTGTTCACTAAGTATCAGTTTCTAAACAGTATCATGGGTTTAATGCTATTCTAGGTATTTAATATTTTAAATGTAATAATCCTTGTACCCTTTTTTGTTTGTTTGCATGTTAAGTTAAATTGGAATTTTTGCCTCTGATTCACAGTCTAAAAGTGAGGAAGGCCTCTCCTTGCTTTCCCTGCGTGGGAAAAAGACTCCTGCGTGTCTTCTAGAGGTGCTGTCTACCCAAGAGTGAGAATGATCTAAAGAGATTTTGGGGGGGCAGAGAAAAGAAAGAAAAAACAAAGCACCTGATAATTATGTTGTGCGGGCTCTGGGAAGACTGACAGCACTGGGAGTAAGGGTGAGAGGAAGGCCTTAATAATTTTGAGGCTCTGCTATCTGAGCTAGTTTTCCTGTGGACACCTGCTTTGACTTTTAGTGAGATCCATGAACCAATTTGGCATGCCATTTGTGTTTGTTACTGCTTATGACCAAAACATTTGAACATTTTGTTTTTTAAGGTGTGTTTAAGAAGTCTGATGGCTGGGTTGGCTTAGGCTGCTGTGAACTGGCTATTACCTTGGAGTGTCGACAGGCATGCAAGCAGGTAATACTGGGCAATCAGGCTCATAAGCAGCATGGAGTACAGTTTGAGTATTAGCTGTGTGTATGTTTTAGACTTTGCCCACCTCATACATTTGGAGAGATGACCCATAAAAGCTGCAAATTTAGCATTTCTTGCGTAGACCAATTCCTTTTAGACTTGCTGCTTTCTCAGTACGGCTGCTGCATGTAAGACCTTCAGCCTTTTCTTATTCTCCTCTCTGACATGCAAGAGAGGGAAAGAATATTATAGGAACTGAAGCCTTTTGTACTCTGCCTGTGGTCATACTTAGTCAATGCTGAGTGATTCCAAATGGTTGTATAAATTTAGAGTATGCTTGGATGAGAGCAGATGACACAGTTGGCTTATTTAGCTTTCATCTTTCCCTGTCTCTTTCATCATGGGTTTACCCTGAGCATGTTCTTATATCCCTTCCCTGCTCCTAAGGTGAGCATGACTCCAACAGTGAACTATGACTTCTCTTTGATTGGATAGATCTCCAGTCCAATTCAAGTTAGGCCCCTGAGTTCTTCCTCACTCTGTGTATTTTCATAGTGGTCCTCAGAGTGCTGTGGGAAAACTGACCTCCTAGCTGCTCATACTCCCAACTGGTGAGAGTAGACTTAACTGGGAAATTTAGTTAGACTGGAAACCACAGCTGGAAAGCCTTTTCTTATTTTCTTCTTTTAATGACTGGTCTCTGGACCAGAGTACATGAGACACGGTGGCATCTTTACTTTCATACAGACCACTGTACTATTTAGTCTGAGCAATACTCTTTGAGTAGCACACAGCCTAGCAATCTGCTGTTCTTCTCCAGTCATTGAGATGAAGCTGAGTTGCAGAGGATTTGAACTGTAATGGGTCTAGGGGGACATAAAGAGAATTACATAAAAATAACTTTTGTTAATTGCCTAGCATAGCCTTTTCCCTCTTTAGTTGCCCACTCCATTACATGTGGATCTTTTCTGAGGAGATTGACTCATAAATCAGTATGAGAATTTAGAATATAAAGGGTTAAAGAAAAAGCAAAATATAAATGCCTTGGCAGAGCTTCACAAGAAAATTTGCTACAGAGTGGAATTCAACTAAGAAAAAAGTTCTCTGATTTATATTTCTTTCAAAGTCATCTAGTTTCTGAAATAACAACAGGACCTTTATTATGTGAGATTAAAGCCATAAAAGAGTGAAGTTTTAGCATATCGAGTAGGTTTCTGGGGCTGTTTGTTTTAAAGAACTTGCATGAAATTTGTTTGTTGTATTTTAGGGACTTTTAAGTATTGGAGCTTAAGATTTTCCTTGATGAAATAAAGAATACCATACCAGCAAGTAACATATATTAATTTATGTTCTTTTTGTCCTGTGTTGAATAACATGTATAATAAACTAATGGAGAAATTTGTTATCTTTTAGGCATCTTCAAAAAATGATATCTCCAGAGTTTGCAGAAAAGAATATGAGGTATGCATTTTATTTAACAAATTTGGATAGACTATTCAGATATTATCAAAATTGATAAAACCACTTAAAATTTAAAAATGAATTCATTCTTACATTAAATTGCCTTTTACTTTGCAGAAAATATAGCCTTGACAAAATATAACCTTGTCATTTACCTTGTTTAGAAATGTCACAACTTTAATTGACTTGTTGAAATTGAGCATTAATTTTAAAGAAATGCCGTTAGCTATACATGAATTAAGAAAATAAAATCTTAAAGTTAAAGAAATTTTTTTAAGAAATGCCTGAATCACATATACAGAGGCTTTAACCTGTAATGTATTCATAATAGCAACTGGTTGTACCCAGGGTCGTACAGTAGTTTTTCTTAGGTTCCATATCCTTTTTTGCCTCTTTTCCTGTACCTTGACCCATCCAGGTATCCCTCTTTATAAACTGTCTCTAATTGAAAGAAACAAAATCACACTGCCTGTGTGAGTAGCTTCAACCTTGCCTAGCTCTTGCATTTGGCAGAAAAATTACTAAATTACAAAGGCTGTATTAAATCTAAAGGACTCTTATTTCCCAATGGTGGTATTTCAAGCGCTGTATCTAGATGAGGTGATTCCTAGGGCAGGGGTAGAGGAGGTATTTCATGTCATGCAAATATGTACAGAAGATTGTCCCTGATGTGAAAAAGCTCCTCATTGGACTACTTTCTTCAGTTTCTAGAACTCCATTGTTAAATGTGACATTATTCTTCTTCATAGTGTGAGACCCTGCAGTTAAAGGTACTTACATGCATATTCCTCATTCATCATTTTTATCTAGAACATTGGGATTCCTTGCTTTTAATAGTCTGTATTCTCTTGGGAGAGATAGAACAGTTCTCTTAACAGCTTCTAGATGATAGTTCTGCCTTTTTTTCTTTTCTCAATGCCTATAATTATAGCTCTTGATTAATATTTTTAAATTGGAAAAATCTTATTTATCTTTTGTCCCTTTGTACTGTTTGCTAAGTTATATCTGTTTCTCTGAAGACACATTTCCAAATTAACTGCAACTCTTCTCTGTTCTTAATAAAAGGAGCCTTGCTGCAAAGAAATAAAAGATCTTTTTTTTTCTTACCTCTCTACCTTTGAAATAACTAGTTTTAGTTTCTCTTGAACAAAGTGGCTAACTGTGATAATTCCTTCTTTTCTCCCACATGATGTCTGACACTGTCCATCTCCTGTAGCCTGTCCTCCATTATTTTAGTGTGCTTCCTTCTCTTGTCTGGATTTCTGCATTGCCCTAGGAAGTCTGCCAGTATGTGTTGATGAAGGACGGGACAGGAAAGGTAAGAGAGATAAACACTGTCCTATGAGAGAAATACTAAGGATAGTTTACTTTTCCCAGTCTGTCCTCCCTTATTGGCCCAGAATTAAGCAACTATTTTCCAAAAATCTACATGCCAAGAGGGTTCTTTTACATATATATATAAAAATATATATGTAAAATACATATACGTAGTATGATATATATGAAAAATATACATATGTAATATAAATCTGTTAAAAACTGACTCTCTAAGTTATTCAAGATAATTCAAGGCTCAATCTGACTTCTCATGTATTATTTAGAAATAAAAGAGAGACAAGAGCACTTTAATGCTGAAGGAGGGTTCTGCATTATAAACCCCAAACAACATTCACTCTCATGATTGTTGAAGTGTAGTCCAAAGATGATGACTATTGGTTATAAAGTGAATGGGGTAAATACGGTGTAATACAACCTAGTTTAACTGGACTGGTTGTTTATCAACATAAGAATAATTTATAAAACTAGGCTTTTAGTATCCTTTCCTTAACACTGGAGTGATCCCTGGAGTGAACTTCCAAGACGTGTAAGCTGTTACTTTAGGCTTACAATTATAGGGGTTAGCATTTACCCTGCAGCATGGTTTTATGCAGTTTGATTAGATATTCAGAAAGTGAGTAATTTTATTTGGAGGAGCTAATGTTTATCTTTACTGGTAACCTGCTGCAGAATCCCTTTTGAGGGGATTTCCTGAGAGATTTACTTGTATGAATAAAGTTTAAAAATTTTGTTCCAGCCAAGCTAAGATAAAGCAGTTAACTGTAAAGATTGTTATGTCTGATTTTATAGCATCTGTTTCCTTTTCTCATGCAAATCAACAATTATTTATTGAATGTAAGAGGCAGCTTTATATAATAAAAAGCATAAACTTTGGAGTTATAGCTAACTTAGAATTCTAGCTAAGACTACTTATAACTTAACTTCAAATACTGAAGAATTGTATCTGAGTGAAGAATTAAAATAAATACTGCACACATGAGGGCTCAGGGAAATCAGAAAGCAGAGTGAGCATGTTGGGATTTATCAGGGGAAACTTTACAAAGGAGAAAGGCCTGAAAGGATTGGCATACTTTGGTAAAAAGACTGTGGATCAAAAACATGTTAGCAAAAATGCACGTGGCTTATGCAGGGGACAGAAAGAAAATAGGCCTGTTTGGGGCTGAGAATCTGTGCTTAGTTGGATAGACAACGTGGGACCAGATCTTGGAAAGATGATGTTTTAGGGCTCAGCCCATCATTAAGTAGAAGGAGATGATAGAAATTCTGTAATAGGAGACCAACATAACAACTCCATATTTTAGAAAGCTAAAGCCTTAATTGTATGCATGCTAAGTTTTAGATCCCACAGACTCCTCTAACTTAGCTAAAAGCAGGTAAGGCCCCAAACTAGGATGATAACAATAGAACCAAGTATTAAGGAATAAATCAGAGATTTGAAGGCAGAATCCATCAACAGGATTTGTTAATGGTGGATTGAATATAGTAGATAATGTTCAGGAAAATATAAAAAAAAATTATTAGCGAATTGGGAGGTAGAACTGAAGAAATTATATGGATAAGCAGCACAGGACAGACTAAAAGAGAGTTTAAGAGATATAGGAGATCAAGTGTTCAAACTGGAATGCTGGAAGAAGGAAAGGGAATATGGGAGAGGCACGATTTAATAAGACCCATCAGGGGCGCCTGGGTGGCTCAGACTGTTAAGCGTCTGCCATTGGCTCAGGTCATGGTCCCAGGGTCCTGGGATCGAGCCCCACATCGGACTCCCTGCTCCGCGGGAAGCCTGCTTCTCCCTCTCCCTCTGCCTGTCGCTCCGCCTGCTTGTATTCTCTCTCTCTCTCTGTCAAATAAAAAATCTTAAAAAAAAAAAAAAAAACCATCAAATCTCCAGCAGGATTAAAAAATATATATATATCCATACATTACTGACACACCTCATAGCCAAGATCTTAAAAGCAGTCCAGAAGAGAAGACCTTACCTTCAAAGGAGACTAATAGCTGATTTCTCAGTAGCAACAGAGGAAGTCAGACAGTGGAATGATACCTAAACTGTTCTGAAAGAAAATAATTATCAACCTAGGATTCCATATCCAGTAAAAATATTTTCTAAGGGAAAATTAAAGGTATTTTCAGACAACAAAAATGAAGAATTGCCATACTGGACCCTTAAAGGAAGTTGTAAAATATCTTTTTTGAGATGCAAAAGAAAATGAGAATGATGAAAATACAAAGTGACTTAAGTTAAAACACACACACAGATTGTAGAAAACAATAACAACATATTATTCAGTTGTTTTTTAAAGATTTTATTTTTTGACAGAGAGAGAGACAGTGAGAGGGAACACAAGCAGGGGGGGTGGGAGAGGGAGAAGCAGGCTTCCTGTGGAGCAGGGAGCCCGCTGCGGGGCTCGATCCCAGGACCCCAGGATCATGACCTGAGCTGAAGGCAGACGCCCAATGACTGAGCCACCCAGGCGCCCCTTTTATTCAGTTTCTGAACTAGAGAAAATACATAGCAACAATAGCATATATGTTGGGAAGGGAGTTTATTTTTTTATTTTTTTCTCCCCAGCCCCTCTGTTGGGAAGGGAGTTTAAAGAAATTGAGGGATATTAGTGTTAGGTGTTTTGTTTTGTTTTGTTTTTAAAGATTTCATTTATTTGAGAGAGAGAATGAGAGAGAGAGAGCATGAGAGGGGGGAGGGTCGGGGGAGAAGCAGACTCCCCGCTGAGCAGGGAGCCCGATGTGGGACTCGATCCCGGGACTCCAGGATCATGACCTGAGCCGAAGGCAGTCGCTTAACCAACTGAGCCACCCAGGCGCCCAGTGTTAGGTGTTTTTAAATGTAATAACCTATATCTCAGAGGTAGTTAGAAATACAGGACTAAAGAGGAGGAGAAAGATCATGCCCAAGTCAACCATGAAGTAACCCTTGAACCTTGAGAGTTAAAGAAAACTTGATGAAAGAGAAAGTGTCGAAAAAAGTGGAGAGCTCGATTTTGAAATTGCTTTTTTAGGGACCTAGAAGAGAAGGATACACATACCGATTAGGAGGACCCTACCTGTGTTGAATAAGACTGTTGGAATGAGATGTTCCAGGAAAAAGGGATCTAACTTTCTCTCAGTGGATATGTTCAAGCAAGGGCTTACTGGATTCACATATTGTGGAAGGGATTTCTACAATGGATGGGAGATTTAGCTAATGATCTCCCAACTCTGCAGTTCTCTTTTTCTGACCCGTACCTAAGAAAGAGTACTTCCTTCAGTACTGATGAGTATTTTTTCAGAATCACACTTTTTTTCTTTTTAAGATTTTATTTATTTTGACAGCGAGAGAGGGAACACAAGCAGGGGGAGTGGGAGAAGGAGAAGCAGGCTTCCTGCTGAGCAGAGAGCCCGACGTGGGGCTCGATCCCAGGACCCTGGGATCATGACCGGAGCTGAAGGCAGACGCTTAACGACTGAGCCACCCAGGCGCCCCATAGAATCACACTTTCGATTAGCGCCACCATTATCAACCAGTGGCTTGATAACTCTGACCGGGACATGTCCAGGTGTCATGGGCACGCTCAGTTCTAGGTTCTCCATGCATTTTCACAGGTGTGGTCCTTGGCTCCTGGAAGTATTGGTCAAGCCACATGGATTCATAGACGTGTGATACTAGAACCAAGGATGATAGTCAAAATATTCAACAGCTGGAATGACGTAGGCACCAACTGAACAGATGCTGGCTGTAAACCATCAGCAAGCCATATTAGCGCACACTGCCTCATTAAAGCCAAAGTACGAACTAAGTTGTATTTTCTGTGAGTTGTGAGACATCTAGTATCATTTTTTTTTAAAGATTTTATTTATTTATTCATGAGAGACAGAGAGAGAGAGAGAGAGAGGCAGAGGGAGAAGCAGGCTCCCCAC